GGGAAGTAGTCTGAAGGAGAGCTAAAAACTGTTAGCAGTTACCTGATATGAAAACATTAGGTATACAAATATTAGCGATCGTGGGCATGGTCACGCGTGCGTGCGACATGGCCATGCCCCGATCGAGACCCGCCCCTCGTCGGGCGGCGTATTGGTGGAGCGAGGAGATCGCGGAACTCCGTAGAGAGGCCAATTCGGCCCGACGCGATCTCCTCAGGGCCCGACGAAGGGCGGGTGGGGACGACGAAGAGACTGCAGTGGCGCGCGGTGTGTACCTTGCCGCAAGGTACGCACTGCGGTCAGCCATTAGCAGGGCCAAGGCCAAGGCCTGGGACGAGTTGATCGCGGAGCTCGACAGGGACCCATGGGGGCGTCCGTACCAGATAGTCTTGAAAAGACTAAGACCGGCGGCGCCCCCATCTCGGAGACGCTCGAACCGGAGTTTCTCGGCCAGGTGGTGGAGACCCTTTTCCCCGAAAGAGATGTTAACATCCCCCCGAAGAGGGACCCTCCCCCCTGGTCAGAGGACCTGGACATTTCAGGACGAGAGCTCTCCGAGGTAGCAAAAAGACTGGGGGCGGCTGGCAAGGCCCCTGGTCCGGATGGGATCCCTGGCCGAATCTGGGCCTTGGTGTTTAGTGGAGTAGGGGCCCGCCTGAGGAGGTTGTTCAACACCTGCCTCAGGACGGGCACATTCCCCTCGGCGTGGAAAATGGCCAACCTGGCTCTGATCCACAAAGAGGGGAAGCCGGCGGAGCAGCCTTCTGCTTATAGGCCGATTTGCCTGCTGGACGAGGTCAGCAAATTGTTTCAAAAAATAATTGTTGGCCGAATCGTCCAGCACCTGTCGCGGACTGGTCCCGACCTTAGCGAGGAGCAATTTGGATTCCGAGAGGGTCGCTCTACCACAGATGCAATTCTGCACCTGAGGGCCCTCTCGGACCAAATTGTAGGGGAGGGAGAGGTGGCACTAGCTGTGTCATTAGACATAGTGAACGCGTTTAACTCCCTCCCCTGGGACTGGGTGAGGGTGGCCATGGAACATCATGGCCTTCCCCAATATCTAAGGGACGTAGTCTGGGACTACTTCCGCGGCAGGACGCTCCAGTACAAAGACCAACTGAAGCGGATAAGCAGAAGGCCTATGCACTGCAGGGTTCCACAGGGGTCAGTTTTAGGCCCCTTCTGTGGAACCTCGCGTATGACAGAGTGCTCCGCACGGCGCTTCCCCTGGGGCTGTCGTCTGCTATGTTACGCAGACGACACTCTGATGGTGGCCCGGGGGAAGACCTGGGTAGAGGCTCGGGACGCGGCCAATGCCGCAACCCGAGCAGTCGTATGCTCCATTCGTACCATGGGACTGGAGGTCGCCCCACACAAGACGGAGGCCCTGTTCTTTTACGACAGGGCCAAAGGGCGTCCTCCCCCCATCCAAATGTAGGTGGGGGAGGTCCGAGTCCTGGTGGGGACCCAGATGAAATATCTGGGCCTCACTCTGGATGGGCTTTGGGGATTCGAACAGCACTTTGTGCAAATCCTCCCCAAAGCGGACAGGATGGCGGCTGCACTAGGCCGTCTCCTGCCCAACGTGGGTGGGCCGAACGTGAAGGTTCGGCGCCTATACGCCAATGTCGTGCAGTCGGTGTCCCTATACGGGGCACCGGTATGGGCCGATAAAGTCCTGGCCAGTCGGCGAATCAAAGCGATGATTCATCGCCAACAGCGCCGGCTGGCCGTTAGGATCATTCGGTCCTACTGCACGACGTCGTTTGTGGCGGCCACGGCCCTGGCGGGCCTCCTCCCGGTCGAGTTTTTGACAAACTCGTACGCCGAGGTTTATCGGCGTACGAGAGATCCTGACCGTACCGGGAGTGCCCGTCTAAGACCAGGGGCCGTGGACAAAATTAGGAAGAGTGCCCGTCGCAGAGCAGTGTCCCAATGACAAGAGGCTATTGCGGACTCTGCGACGGGCAGATGGACCACCCACGCCATCCAGCCCTGTCTACCGGAATGGGTAGACAGGCGAGGACGAGGACTTGAGTTCCACCTGACACAGGTACTCACCGGGCACGGTTGCTTCGGTGACTACCTGTGCAGAATTGGTCGGGAGCATACGACGGGATGCCACCACTGTGCGGCCGGTCGGGACTCGGCGCAGCATACTCTCACCGAGTGTGAGGCTTGGACGGAGGAGCGCCGAGCCCTGACCGCAGTGGTTGGACAGGACCTCTCCCTTCCGGCATTGATTCAGGCAATGCTGGAAGGGGAGGAAAAATGGAAGGCCGCCTCTGACTTTTGCGGCGCTGTAATGTCGCAAAAGGAGGAGGCGGAGATGGCGGATAGCACTCCACCATCCTCCCCACCTCCCCCCTTCAAGAAGAAGAAGGAGAGGCAACGGCGACGAGGGCACTCCCCCGACCACGGCGCTGCGACGGAGGAGAATAATCCCCCGTTGCCGTTTACCAGGCCCACGTAGGGACTGATGGGAGTAGGGGTCTCTCAGATGGTGGCGTTTAAACCACCAACAACATAATCTGAGAGACCCCTGGGGAATGACATCCCAACAAGGATTTCCCCACACATATAGACTGGGTGGAGGGGGGAACCTAGTCCCTCCTCCCCCCAGCGGGGGCTATCCGTGAGCGGGGGCTCACGGAGGTCCCGGCCCCCCACATAAACCAGGGGCGGGGAAAGACTGTGGTAGCCCAGTCTTCCCCGATAAGAGAGAAGAAACAGCAATGGGTGGGGGAGAGAGAAAACCTCTCTCTATCCTACCGGGAAGAGGCCAACATCTGGCCAAACTCAAGAGGGGGTGAGATGAATGCAGCAGGCGATGCCTCACCCCCTCTTATCATGGGTTAGGAAGGCTACCGGCGGGGGTTTTAGTGGGTATACCTCAGGGACACCTTCCCTGGGGGACTCCCACATAACCCTCGGGTTCTCCCCCGAGACCCGAGGGTATCCATAAAGGATTTCCCCCGCCTTAACCAAAAAAAAAAAAGAAAAG